ATATATATTAACACATTCATGAGAGATTTTAAGGTAAAAAATAATAAGTATTCAATGATCATTAAACTATGATAGGGTTAAACTACGATTAATATCATACTACGATATTTTTTAATGATAAGATTAACAAATTGTAAAATAAAATTAATAATGTTTAAAAACAATAATTTTTAAACATATTATTTCAATCATATTTTCATGATAACTATTAAATAAATCGTTAGCGATCTTTTTAATAACTTTAAAGTGTTTATTAAGTTTTATGTTAGAAAATATCGTAGTATCATATTCATATATAATTAATCTTGAAAAAGAAATTCTGGAATTTCTTTTTCTAATGGCGACGAAATTCGATCGTGGTTTGTAACGCCTTCAATTTCGCAGACCGCATTTGCAGTTTATGCTATATCATAAAACTACATACGACAGAAAAAACTCTTATCTAATTCGCTATGCAAGTGTCGAGTGCAATCGAAGTCTTATACGACTTCATCAATGATCATCACTTCGTGATTACATCGAATTAAAGCGTCGGCATACCCTAATCGAAAAATACTAAAGCGCTACTTTTTTATCTGGCCACGTAAACGCGAACGCGTTCGAGAATAAAATTTAATTGATAAGCACGATAAAATCGTAAATTCTTGTTTAGTCTCGATTGCACTATGCAAAGTGCAAAAGTATAGTATTATCGATGATCTGAGAATATGTGTCGTTCTAACATGTATGATATTTTTATTAATAGATAACATGAAACAAAGTATTGAAAAAAACAGAGCTATATTATGTTTGAACTTGTCGAAAAATGCAAAAAGAAATTGCTAATCATACAATAGAACGTAAAAAGCAACGGCTTCCTTCCTTCTTCCTATTTATCCTTTATTCTTTCTATATCCTTTATTATTTATTATTATTCTTTATTCTTTATCCTTTATTCTTTCTATATATCTTTTTAGTTATTAATAATATAAAAAACTTATCCTGGCTAATGAAATTTCGTAAATATAATTGGAATTTTATTTAAGTGCAAATAAATATACATCTTTTGCTTATATTTAGCGAATAAAATAATACAATTGTGATTTTTTAATTTAAACTTTACAAATTTAATAGTTAATAGTTAATAGTTAATAGAATTTCTTGTTTTGTATTTTTAATAACTTTTTTGTAAATTGTAATCTTCTTTTCTCCAAATTAAAATAGTAAATAATCAAAAATCTTTCTTAGTTGGTAGTTTATCATAAAATCCATATGTGTCAGAAGGAAATCGAACCGTTCTTTTAACATTCATCCAGGGTCACAATGGCATTACACAATTATGCAAGAAGAAATATATATCCGTACAACATATGATGCACAAGTAGTAAGATATATGTATATACGTTTATATAATGCTTATTATACTCTACAATCGAAATGATCCAAACATTAATACGTTCTTCAATATGCGGTAATTCGGAAAATCATCAATCATTTTGTTATATCTCATTATAGGAGAATTCGACGTGTCATGGAAAATGTGAAATACGATCTCGCCTCCGTGAAAGAACGCTCAACAATATCGTGATAAAAATCAACTAGTATGTCGATCAGACGAAGAAAAGGCACCAATATTCATGTTTCCATAATGCGATTTAACACTTTGAATCCACCGGTCTAATGGTAATATATTTTTTAATATGTGTTTTGTGTGACTGAGATAATCTTACATTTATTATTCATTTTACTGATTTTCTCTTCATATTTCTCTCTTTAATATCATACATTATATGTATACTCTATAATTTTATTTAGATACATAATTTTATAATAAAGTTTAATCAAAAATAAAATACAAAGTGTGATAAGACAATATCATAATCAGATTCAAAGTGCTAAAATATTGTTCTAATGAAAGTGGGATAAGTACAAAATGTTTTGTGCTAACCACAAGCCATTATTTACTTATTATTTGCGTATTAGTATTTGTTCTGGTCGCGTATATCGCATTCCAGATTTTCTATATAAAAGTACTATTTCGCTCCTTTGAATCCTTGTTCGCTGCATTTTACTGTTGATTATACAAGACATACATCACTCTGCCGCATATGGTTTTTGTATAGAGTAATTGACTAACTACTTATCATTAAGAAAAGGTACGTTGTCATCGCATTCAATTTTTCCTACATTTGAACACAGTTACAAAGTTTGGAACATTTCAAATGTTGTAATATTTATAAACTTTTTATATATTCCTATATAACAACAACATAACTCCTTTGAATAAAATTTAACAAATTGAACACAAAGTTCCTATACTAGGACAAATTATACATACATTATACATGTATACGTCTAGAGAGAGAGAGAGAGAGTGAACGATGCTAATTGTAAGATGTAAAAATTGTAGAATTACGCTATGTAGGATGATCTATTTCACACAAATTCTTTCATCATAATGGAGGTACAACAATCTCGTTTCGCTATAAACTGTTATTAATTTTGTTACAATAAAAACTAAATCTTCTCAAGGTCGAATAGATATATATCATTTATCATAAACATAGTTCGAATGTTTGTTTCAATTTTTTATTCAATTCCTTTTTAATGCTTATATTATTGTTATTAAATAAAGGAAAAAAAAAACAATAGCTATATTATGATCTATTTATAAAAAAAAATATACATGTGTATAATGTTTGATATTTTGCTTAAAATCAGTAATCAGTCTTAAAATGCAAGCATGTAACATTTGTCGAAACGAAGTTGCAGCATCTCGAAATTATTGCGCGAAACAAAGTCACGAAAAGATATTATATAATATCATCCTATACTTTTGAAAAATCGTCATCTAGAATGCAGTTTACTAAAGGTTTTTTTTATACATCTAAATTATTTCTCATCATTCATAAAGACTATTATGTGTGTATGTATGTATCCACCAACAGTAATATATATATCAGACCACGTAAAAAATGCAGCAACTATAATCCTACTATGTGATATTGAAGATGTAACATATTCTCTGATTCTACCGTATTACATAATTAAGAAATGTTTATTTGAAAAAGTATTGTTTATGCTATCTGCGATTAATATAAAAATGCATCTCATGCTTTTTATTAAAATTTTGTTGGAATTACACATAATATTTGCAATATTATTTGTTCACGTAACAAGAATTGTTCCTTCGAAAAGAATTATGTTTCATTCATTACACAAACAAATTGCACAATATTAAATTAATTGCACAATTTAGACTATATCTATTCGATTTTTGGCATTTTAAATCGAATACTAAAATCGAAAAATAACGTTCTTAACATTAAGGCAATTTTAAAAGGTAATTTACAGATTATATTTAAGAAAATGTTTTTACGATTTTGGTTGCTATTTTATATTATATGAGAAATTAAGTTTATTCATTCAAAAATTTATGCAAATTTTGATTAGATTACTTTCTCATAAATTTAAGTTCTTCCGAACATGTATGACATAATATATACATAAAAATAATTAAATAAAATATATTATAAATTGCGTAATTGTATTTTCTATTATATATAGCTGTACTAATTATAACTTGAAATATATATATAATCATTCTTATTTTGTTAAATAAAAATATTTTGAAAATAGGATTTTAACTATCGTTACCTAAGTAGCCATAAACATAAGACATTAAGAAGAATGTTTAATTCGAAATTAATATACTGCGAATACGATAAAAATATCTCGAAGAAACAACTGATCTTACAGAGTATCACAAATAAGAATTGCACTTAATATATTTACGCACAGCGTATATTATATATATATGTATGTGTGTGTGTGTGTTATGTGTATATATGTGTGTATATATGTATGTATATATATACATACATATATACATACACACACACATACATATATATATATATATATCCATATATATATATATATAAAGAGGAGATAATACCACAAAAACAAGAGATACGAACGCCTATTATCGATAAAAGCCAACATATATATAAATTAGTATATATACTATTATATATGTTTCATAAATTCTCTATAATATACATATAAGGCCAAATGTACATTGACATGACAGTTACATTAGTATTATCATTGCGTTAACATTTTGTTTGAACGTGTTAACTTCATAAGAAACTGATATGCGAGCAATGTGAGTAAAGTTGAAAATAGTATATAATTTGTAAGAATAAATTCGGCACACTCGTCTTCGCGTCAAATATGACGAAAATAACAGGTTTGTTTAACTGCATATGGCAGCGCAATTAATTTTAATGTCGTTGGCTCGTTAATCTAACAACAAGCATTGATCACTGATAAAATCTCAATGACGGCAGTATCTTTAAATAACGTATCGTGGATTTATTTTTTTTTTCAAGTACGAAAATTAGTAGAATGCATTCGCGTTGCTACCCTCCGATACACGAAAAAGTAGAACAAATTTGTTCTCACATTTTGTTAGACAATATAATAACATATATATATATATGTATATAACATCGGATTAATAAATCAGAATATGTCAAGATTTTATCGAAATCACATTTATCACTAATAACAATTATTTGTAATATATATATATACACAAAATATAAGGTAACTTAACATTTCCCACATTCTTTACCATAATGTATTATTGATATGCAAATAAAATATACTATAGCAAATATTAGTCATATCAGAACAAAACTGGTTATTTATAGTCCAATTCAAATTAGACTATAATAGGATGGAAAACAGAATTAATTTTGAGAATCTTGAAATTTGGTACGGACATTTTTTAGATGAAAAATAAAGCTCTAAAATTCATCTGCTTTCGACATGCACGAAAAAAATTGATTTTTCCATATAAAATAAAACATACTTTAATTAATCACGCCACATGTACGGTCTTTATATCATATAGTCACAACGTCGTCCTTGTCTGATCTTATCAGGCACGAGCCTTCGAAAAGCCCTCATATCGCTTACGGTACGTTCGGAAACAGCACCCGAACATCGTTCTATCTTTGTTCAACTTTTAATAAATAACAAAGATAGAACGACACTCGTGTGCACACGGGTGATGTTTCCGAACGCAGCCTTAGTCATATACAAAGTGATAAATAAATAAAGTATATTTTATTTTATACTTCCCTCTCGTCCAAGAAAATGATGTCTATACCAAGTTTCAAAATTTTCGAAATTATTTTCGTTTTTTTCCCATTATTATTGGACTATTAGCGCACAATAAAATAATTTCACATTGTCAATTTGATTATACAATTTCAAGAATTCATTAGATTGACAACATACATAACTAAAAAAATTTAAATTTGTGCAACTAGAAAAATGTATAATTTATAAATTTACAATTAGAGAAGCCAATAGATTCTCTCAATTCCTTGATATATTGTGTATTTTCCGAATAGTGTTATTGACCGAAGAAATAACCGTCATGTGATATGACATCTACTCCCATTTCGCGCATTTCGCTAATGCGTCGATTTATACGTTATTTGAATTGCCACTAGTCTACCTTACAAGCAACCTTGCATTCGGAGTTAAACATCTATTACTCCAATTTATCATTATATATACGTAACATGTAATAATGCAATATCTCTCGTCATAAAAAATCGTAAGCCTTAGTCATACTTCGAACAAGGTCATTTGTAATTACAGGATGGATAATTTTCGTAAAACGCGTTAACAAACCTGTTTCTAATATATAAAAATTTATATTTATAATTTATATATTTACTCTACACACACATATATTCTACCTGCGTACATATACCAAGAATATATTTTAACTAAAATTCTTTTAATCGTGAACGCAAATCACAGCATGATATTTCAAGATGTAATAATAATAAGCATTTTTCACAAAACCAACTTACATTTTGTTAATTTTTTCCTTCGAATTTTTTTTCAGGAAGAAACAGGTTTCCTAACTGTTTTCTCTGAAAGAGATTTTCTTTATACCTTAAGAGTAGCTTTGGGAGACCAATGGTGGAAACGGGCGGGTCCTGCGGGATAAGAGGACTGGTGTACCCATTTATTCCCCCGGTGTCCCATAAAGGGCGGCGGAGAAGGACCACCGAGGAAATGCGGAGGCATTATATTGTACCAAGGCTGGCTGATTGGATGAGGACCATAACCCATGCTAAAGGAGTGGCCGAACCACGAACGATTTCTGTTCAGATGCAGTCTGGGACTATTCAAATTACGCTTCCTACCTGTACCATTATTGCTATGCTGTTGATTTTGATTAGCAGTGCTTAATAATTTTGATTTCGGCTGTTGTTGTTCTGTACTAGTGGTTAAAGGGGATTTCTGCAACAGAAACATATTTATTTTCAAGTTACTCTGTAATTGCGATTGGAGATAAGAGATATAAAGAAAATACTGCATGTAAATAAAATATCAATAAAGCATACATCTGGAAACTAACAATTTCAAAGATAATCAATTTTCCAATCTATAAATTAATAGTTCTTTGTATAATAATACGTGTCCAATATCTAGTCAATACATTCAGAATGGATATTACAAATTATTTATTATACAAATATTTTATTGTAAATTGCTTATGTGTGATGTGAAGAACTTGTCATACAAAGAACAAATTAATTTATAAATCGAGAAATTTAAATTTATATTATTTATACTTGTACTCTATGTATTAAAAAGTTTAATCTGTTTTAATTTGTATTAATTTATTTATTGATTGTAAGAATAGGGATAGGAATTAATTAAATTAAAAATAATCAAGAAGGAAACACTTGCCTGTATCTTGATGGGCCCCACACAAACTTCCTTATTCTCTTTATTTGTGTTCTCAGTGTGTTCTTGAAAGATGGGTATAGCGTTCTCCTTGTCCTCAAACGATGCCAGCGTGCAATACGATCCCTTGCTCTCACCAAATCGACAGCAGACCTCATTGGGATCAACCCACAAAGTTAACTCTACCGGTAGGGCCAGGTCCTCGTATTTGACTCCAGCAGCACTCGCGGCGCTCTCCAAGGTCGCATCTCGGCGATTGTGGCCGTTGACGCGAATACAACGATATCCCTGACCTTTGAACGGCTTGTCGGGAAACCAGTGATTTTTAAAGCGTTCCGTCAGCAGTTCGACCAAGTGCCGCTTGAAGCATTCTAATTGATCGGGACTAAATTTTTCGCTTTTTTCGATCAGCTTTACTAAGAACAGTACCGCCGCCCTGATCTCGTTGAGCATCTTGTCGCTGTCGTATGTCCAAATTACAGGTCGATCGGGTGCACCTCTCGCGATACCACAGTAGTAAGCTCTTGGAAACTAAAGTACCATTTGCCCAAGTCACGGTGGAGCACATAGAGCCCTTCTGCACCGTTGCAGCGCTTGAATTCTTCAAGATCTATGTTTCTGGCGTGTATTGCTGGCGTCTTGCTTGCCAAACTTTGAATAATTTTGTCGCGACTGTATAATTTGTATATCCCACTAATGCAGCTACAATCTGTATATAAACAGAAAAAAACAATATCGTTATTATCTATTATTATATCTCAATATTTCACTTCGAGGTTCCGAGCCGTTTAGAATTCGGATTGAAAAGTAGAATCGAATAAAAACCGTAAAACGATATTGGAAAAGGAAGAAAACAATTACAATTGCACACACAAGTAGATCGCCTCCTGCTAATCAAAATCCGGTGATAGTAATCATAAACGCGTGATTCAACGAGCTCTTAATTAAAAATCTAATTCATGCCTCAATCTCACTAAAGTACCTCTTAGTACGCTTGAAGAAAAAAAAAAAAAACAGAACGCAAAGTACGTTCCACTATTTAACGAGCTGACACACGACCGCTCGAAAACACTGTGCCCTATACAAAACACAGCGTTTGTTTGTTTTTCCTCTCGGTACTTAAACGAAACCGCGTGTCTCGTCCAACGAGCATTCAGCGTGACGCCAACGTCGCGCGATCGAGATATCATCCACAGGCTCGACGCGACCGATCGCGCGACGAATCCCAGTACAATATGTTGTGCAGCTTAATAATAGCAGGCAAGTTAGGCAAAGGAGGTCGCGTATCCGAGCGCGAAAACAGCTCGCATCGCTCGCGCCGCTGATAATCGAGCGACGTTCGATTTTTGCCGACGATCACGTGCATTATGTCGGGTTCGCGGAACGTCGATGCGCCACAACAATTTATGCCAGCTCATTGCCGCCGTTCCGCGCACTATCAAATCGTGCCCCCGATTTTGCCGATTGCGATGTGTGCATGTCGCGGACGCGTTTATAATATCGGGCGTCCAACGCGACCGATGCGAGCCCGCCACGACGCGAGCCCATCGATATCGCGCGATAACGATATGAAATCAATCTTACAAGTCAGTGACGAAAATCCCGTGTCTCTCTAGTGCGCGAAACTCAACTACGTCTTCTTTCTCTTTAAATAAACGTACCCGACCCAACACGTGTTACGTTGCACCCGTAATCATGGAGTATAGTGTATGATGTAGATGTACGTACCTCACGACTGTTTTTCTACAATTGGACTAAACTGACTTGACCAATCAGCGTATATATTGTAATGCCGTCTTGAGAAATCGAATTGTCAACTGTCAACAGGTCTGTTCGTTTTGTTTTTGCACTCGTTAGAATGAGAATTATCTAATTTCCACCAGAGAGAAGCTTAAGGGTGCAAACCCATGGAATTTAAAAGAGATAGATTTTAGGCTGAAATTAGATTCTGCGCAATTTTCTACGCAGACGCTCGACGTTTGACGCTGCCATGTAAAGGCACCTTAACGCGGAACGAGAGCATGACCAATCGTGAGCGTTCTGCAGTTTTCGCTACGTTCACGATTGATCCGCTCTTGTTCCGCGTTACGCTTTTCCGCTGCCATGGGTTTGCACCCTGAGAGCGGCCATCCCAGCGTTTTTCGTACGATAGCTTTCGGTCCCGTACAGCAGCGCCTCTACGTTCATTTTACAGACGCTTGGAACTACATGGCCACGTCCACTTTCGGTGGCATGATAAAACACCTTCCCAAAGTTAGCCCCCCCACTTTAACTTTTGGGAATTTTCTTTTTATCAATCGATTGGTGGTTGATTGGTAATGTTTGGTATCGCATTAGAAAAGTTTGGTAGTTTCCCGTTTATTTAAAAAAAAATCGTAAACAAATTTTTAACCTTTTCTTAGACCCTCCCCCCACCCATTTTGACTGCTGGAAATTTTTTTTTCATCATTCGTTTGGTGATTGATTGGTAACGTTTGCTACCGCATTCAAAATGTTTTTTTGTATAGCTAATAATTTTACATATACAGCCAGATTTTGCAATTCGGCTTTTAAAAATTTATAATAAGGCCCGTTCTACGATAGCACGCGCAGGCGCAAGATCAGCGCACATGGTTTTATAATCGTAGTAGCCTAATAATTAACTACCAAACGTTATAATTAGATTACCAATCACCACCAAACGATTCTCTTTCAATTAAGACCAATTTGAACAAAATTGGTTGGTAAATAATACATTTGTTCGGCTAACTTTACAGCTCTTAAAACATATATAAATGGAAGGGGAATGCCTTTGTTTCCCGATAGAAAAATATGTCTGAAGGAAGTGAGAAAGAAAATCATAGTTGCGTCTCTCTTGTGAGTAACTGCTCAAAAGTGCGCATGCACGGCTTACCGGTTTGGCCCAATGAAAAATAAGGTTACATTAGTCACGTTGGGTGCGTTCAGGAGACACAACCGTTGAATAGCGATCGAACGTGATTCGTTCTTACTTCTAGAACCAACAAATCAACGTCGAGTGTTGACAAGACAATGCTCAACAGTTGTTTTCTGAACGCGCCCATTGACACGATAGTTGGATGGATCATTGTAATTTTTCGTTGATTTAAGTTTAAAAAGTTCTTGTATTAATTTTTATAAAAAATCGCATATTGTAGCACTTATTAATAAATTTAAAAAGTAAAATGCATTGCCAGGGACATAAAAATTTTTACGTTTTACTGATAAAACCATAATAATCATTTGACGATTTAGATCTTACTTATTTAAAAATTATTTACTAAAAATTGTAGCAAAATACTTTTACCTAACGTAAAATCTTCCTGTTTTTATTTTTTTTTATTTTTTAAAATTAATTCTTTCTTTCAAATCGGGCACTGCAATTTCAAAAATAAATATTAATTTCAGATATATTCCTACATGGATAAAAAAACTTACAATAATTTATATGCATATTTTAAAATCGGCATAAGATATTAAAAAATACGATAGACTTTAAAAGACAGTCCATCGCGGCAGCTGCTATTCGCGAGTATCGTATCAAACATCTTGTGCAACAACATTCTGGTCTTCTCCAACACTTGCTGACGTATGAGAGTCATCGATTTGTTCGTGATAGAATTTTTATTGAAGAATCCCTCCAGCAGTTTCGGTTGCATTTCGGCAGATACCAATGCCGAGAGAAACGGTCCCAGGAGTGAGGTTCTCGAGAGCTCTCTTCCGGCTGCTGATATCATAACATCAGGCAAGAATTGAGCTTGAATCGTTATCAAACGGCAAATCGGATGTATATTGCTGTTTGGTCCACAGCGAATCTCTATCAGTTCGCATAGCGCCTCCATCGGTCTTTGCGGATTGCTGTATAAACTCGCATTCTGTATCATGATATACAGGGTTTGCAAGACTGGAGCGAAAATTTTATGGAACATGTTCGGATTCGTGTATGTCCTAGCCATGAGGTCGCGAAGATAGCCCAGAGGTAAGTTTTGCGATAATATCCGATAGAAAAAATGAATGGTCCAATGAGGTACGATAGCAGCTTCCCAAAATTTCGGTGATCCCGGATTCTCGCTGACTTAACCAGCAAAAATAAGGTTGTTAGGACTATCTTAATTTAAGATAGTCTTTCAATAAATGATATACATGCTACACCTTTTTTTATAACTAACAAATTGCATATATATTTATTATGTACAAAATAACTTGTATATATATTTATTATATTGTTATATAAATTTATGTAGTGGTGAACTCCTGAAATAAATGCTGTTCAATATCAATTATCTACATTATTAGATACATCAGATATATCTATTTGATACTGATAGCATTATTAATTGTAAATTGTACTCTAATTATGATTGTGCAATAATTAATTGTAATTATTGCTTCTTTATAGAGGAAGCTTTGTTTACGTGACAAAATTTTTTTTCGAGTTTTTTATGCCAATGTGTTCAGAATGTTCAAAAACCTCGAGAAATCATATTCCTAAAAAATGTATGTATGTGTGTATGTATGTATGTATGTACGCGATATGTTGTGCAATCTCTAACTTCCGCAAATTTTGAAATATCGAGTTAAATTTTTTTACATAAATAGAGTATCATTAAAGAATGATTGGTATTGAATTTGGTGAAGACCGATGACCGGTTTTTATTGAATTTAGAAAAAAATATTTTATAATATCGTGGGTGTGATTTTCCAGCATTATAAACATGGGCATATATTGGCCCGATTTTGGCTTGCCGATGAATTTCTAAAGCTAACATTAGGTTTAAATCGAGCCGATTTTAAAATCCCACTTGGGATGCTATCGAGTTGACTTTCTATCAATTCTCTTTCTAATTGTCAAAATTTTATAACAAATGAAGTCTTTCATCGATCTTGTGCTCCGTTTTTTTTAACTGTTTATCAATGTTTCTCATGTTTTCTTTTCTTATAATAAAGTTAATTAAGTGTTTCTTAAATGAGTTTTTATATTTCTGAAAATGTATAATCTATAATGTAAATGCATAATCTATAACAATTATATAAAAATAAAAAAAGTGTGTAAATTAGAAAATAGCATATTGTTTCTTTATCTTTTTATTGCCATTCTAGGAAAGTATCCTAGATAGTTTTTAAATATACCATTTTATATATATAATAAAATACATGCTCAAATTAACATACTGTTTCACAAAACTTTTATATACTTTTTTAAATATTATGTTACAAAATATTATGTATTGTATGAATGCAATGTAAAATGTGCGTATACTTTAAAATTTTCAGACAAATCGAATGTGTACCCCGATATCAGTGAAATATCGCCAAATTAATGTATTTAAATGCTACAGAAAAAGATTAATTATAGCTTAAAATTATTATAATTATGTTTGATATTATTTTAATTTATTTTATGTATGTTGCAAAGTATTCAAATTAAACTTTTTTAAATTTTGCTGTTATCGGGTTCGATTTGTCTCGAGTGGTTGGTACCCGAGAATTATTTATACTCGTACATTTAACTCGCACTAGCTACAATAACGTATAACATGTATTTTGATATTCATAAATATAGTCGTTCGTAATCACATTTTCATAAAAATTGTTATATCCATTTAATTTTCAATAAAGAGATATATTTCTTAATAATGGAAGAACACATTTTCTCGCGCAAATTTCAATCTCGTGAATTAAAGATAATGACAATGGTAACTATTGTTAATTTGTTACCGAAATCATTGCTATCGGAAGCAGTCCGGAAGATCCGTGATTTGTTTCCTCCTACAACGGAACTCCTAATATTCAACGGATCACTTAACTTTCCTTTGCAGATTGATCTTGTGGGGTCCGATGTAGAAACAAGAATTTGATCGTTCTCCACTTTTAGGATTGTTCTTGTCTTTGTCAGATATTAACCGGCGTGTTATCTGGTGGAGGGACCTTGATCTGGTCAAATCGTTGAGCCAGTTATTCTCCACTGAACGCGGCGATAACGCGCAGTTTTTTTTATAACGGTATTTTAAGACTTATATGATTTTATCCTGTTTAGTCAATCCTCCGCGAAACGGTACGTATATCTTATTATCAATCGCGAAATTTATTTTAATTTAATTTAATTTAATAAAATCATGCATTTGAAAATAAATCGGGCATTAGATTTTATATTCAAATTGTATACAAATGTCCTATATTACAGATGCGATTATAATTATAAAAAGCCAAAATGTTCGTCGCAACATTATCATTTAAGTATGTAATAATTATATTATTTCTCCGATTGCATGTATATTGGAATCGCAAATATTATGGCTATCATCAATTTATTTATTTGTCACGTTTTTTCGCAAATTTTAAGTTGTTAGTTTTTTCGCGGTTTAACTTGTGATTTAATCGTTGATTTACATCGAAGCTTCGTCTACTTTTTCTCGGATATTTTATTATATTTTTTATTTAACAAATTTGTAAAACCTATTTATTAAAACATATATATTAAAAAAATTAAAATAAAGATTTTTCCTCCTCAATGGTATCTCCACCTTAACGAAGGCATTTGCCCCCTGAGGAGGTTTGCGAACTTTTTGTGATATGTTTTGTAATTATACAGTATATATTTTGTAATTATATATTATATACATCTTATATAATTCTTCGTGTATTATGTTTTTTATTTGACAAATTTGTAAAACCTATTTATTAAAACATATATATTAAAAAAATTAAAATAAAGATTTTTCCTCCTC